TTCAATAAATATGTAAAAAAAAAAAAAGAAAAAAAACTTACATACTGCAGCTTTAAACAGTATTTCAGAATTGGGTCTACTATCATGAACAAGATGTTGCAAGCAGGGACAATTAGACACTAGGAGTTGCTAGAGTTCCTGCCCTTTTTGCTCTGAACAAAAAAAGTGCCCTTTTGAAATCTTTTTCAATTTATAGTGTAAATTATGTGGCCAGAAGTAGCATTTCTGGATTTAAAAGCCTATATTATCAGTGCCTTACATATTTGTAATTCTGCACGACATAATTCGATTTCCATTTGAGCACCTGCCCCCCAAAATGTCTGTGGATGCCTCTGACTACAAGGTATAAACTGGAACAATAACTTTCAGCTAAACACAGGTTTAACTATTCTTTGTATTTTGCACGCCTCCAGAAATTAAAGTAGGGAAAACAGAATGTCTGGATGCATCACTCAGTTCCACACCGGGTGGGTCATGCAGTGCAAATTGTCAGGAGAATTTCTCAAATCAATAGCATAAAGAACGTTTTGTGCACTCGGTGACCAGGTATCCTCGGCAACTCATAAAGGTCTCCGCCTTAACTCGGTGTGGAGGGTTGTTTGTCCTTCTCATGCACGGCAGCACCAGCGTGTGAGCGTCTTGCCAGAGCCTCGCCCCAATTCCACACACCACAGAGATGACGCTTTTTTATGGTTTCTTTCCCCCTTCGGCAGTAAAGCATGAGGCCGGGGCTGCTGCAGATTAGCCATGCTCTGTGCAGGAAGATCCCAAGGGGGGGCGCACTAACAGTCCTCCGTGGACAGCATCGTTTCACTTGGTTGTCTTGCATCACTAAACCGAATCCCCCTGCATCACTCGATGAGCGTGACCTCACTGTTTCTCACAACACACCCGTCAAGTGATGACTGTAAAGGCAAAAGAGAGAAACCAATAATCTCAGCATTCCATCTGCCCTGACGCAGGGGGGCTTACAGGACTTAGCGGGGGCCCAGAAGTGTGCTTGCCGAGCCCTAAGCTATTTATGATCCGCTTCAGAGTACAATTAGTTTTGAACAGCCTCGACGGCTCCTTTAAGTGAGCTGAGCCCGATCCCATGAGGTCACCAAGTGCCATTCTGTAATAATGTTCAAAACACAATTCATACAAAAACAGCCCCTTAAGTCATGGCGTGTTTTATGCCGCCATATGTTAGCTAGGGTTCCTTTCACTTTTTTCATTCTCATGCGTCCTTTTCTTGAGCGCAAGACTCTTAGGGCCGTTAAAATGTGGTTTGCATTAGGTTTTTATATTTCTTGATATTTATGATTTGTGCCACTCCTTGTATTGTCTCTTTTGATAAATATTTCAAACAACATCAAGGGCTAATCCTGCTTTGATTCAACTGCCAACAAGCAACAAGAGAATCATTTTAAAGGCCCTTGTGAAAGCTTTGGTGTTTCAGCCAAAATGTTCTGCCTTGCCCATGAGGAAGAACAAAAAAAAAAAAAAAAAGAATCCAATCCATCGAGTTAACAAGTCGTGATGACAATATTCTCTTACAGATCTGATAACGGTCCAGTTTATCTAAACACTGAGCTGGGTTTAATGAAAAGAGCAGATCTGTGAAGCTTTTCTAATTCCCCCCCTTGTCCTCTCCAAAAAAAACAAATCCATGTTGTTGTTTTTTTGTTTGTTTGTTTTTGTATTGCTGTTTCCAGGGACACTCAGAAAGCCATCACCAACATCGGTTCCCTTTCTTTCTGTCAGACTATCCAAGGGTGACATCTGGCCGAGGCTTGCAGTCGGCATGCGAAGGGTTACAGCTGCAATCGTTTTCTCTGGCTTGGCCTGAGCCCAGAGGCTTAATAAAGGGAATTAATGGAGTGCACTATCTGTCAGATTCCTAAACACAGCTGGAGCGGATGTTCATCGCCCCCAAGCAGCCCGAAGAACTTACTATCCTACTTGAACAACATAACCCCCTCCTTTCTTCCCCCATATTGTCCCCTGGGTGCTGACTCCGCAAAGGAACCCCAGCTGATTGTGAAAGCTGTTTATGTATCATCACTGACTATAATTACACAATGTGGGATAACAAACAGAGAGAGGGGAAGGAGGGAAGGAGGGGGCAACTGTTATGAGCGTGTCAAAATACAGTGAACTTTTTGGTCATGCATGGTAACAGCTGCGGTAATGATGTGCAAACGGTACAAATAATCAATGTAAATGTGGTGAACTAATAATACGTGCCGCACACTCACGAGCACATGGCCAGTGAGGCCTGCGGCATTTAACACGAATGGCCCCCATCTAAGACAATGCTATAGAGAACCCACACAGGCAGGTCATTCACTCAAGGTTTCATATGTTTTAGACATGTTTAAATAACTAGAAAGTATGCTAAATGCTTGACTTTAAAGTCGGGTAACTTGAGAAGCCTTATGTAAAAGGCTATATGTTCTACTGAACTGCTTTTCATAACAAAATGAAGCTTTTAAGCCTACTCTCAGAGGAGAAGGTAACTTATTTTTACTATTCACATCGACAGATGTTTTGGACCTGTTCCAGTTAAACTGCAGCCTAAATGAACTGGATTGATAAGAAATACAGGCTGGAAACAGACGGTGGCAAGATGAAAGAAGACAGAGAAAATTTCTAAAACTTGACTTTATCTACTTGTGTTTGGCAGGAATCTTCTGAAGAAAGAATGGGGTAAAAAGATTCTAGAGAGCACTGGGCAAATGGCAATTGGGGTCAGAGATAATTAATCTAAAATCATCTTTATCCACCTGACTGTAATATTGCAGTGTTTTGCAGGCAGTAGGCTGCTTCGTATGAGAAAACGCACACTGGCGTATCTGCGAAAGAAACACAGAATACAGAAACATCAGGCTATGCAACACAAACTAGGTCAAGGTTTATCCTGGCTCAGCAGCAATTTTCTGGGGTCACCAGAGATCACAAAGAGTGACTTACCAGGCACATAGGAATGCTTTCAGAGTTCAAGTTTGAGCTTAGCGGTATGGAGGTAATAGTTCTCTGACAGCTCAAAGACTGGGGGATTTGGTATGATATATGTTTCCAAATGGTCAATTTTTATAGCAGATAGTTGTCAACTGGCAAATATCAAACCTCAATACTGTCTAGGGTTCTAGAAGGCCATGTTTCTAACAAAGACATGACATTTAAACATTTTGTGAAAATTCTGTATTCTTTAGCTTTTTTGTGATGAGCTAAATGTGGAACTCTATACCACCTTTACAGTGCCTCGCTAACATTGCCATAAACTTTTCCTAAACTTAGAATTTTATGCAACAGACCAACACAAATTAGCGACTTCACAATTCTGGCTTCTAGGATGGCAACTGTAACACAAAAGAAAAGTCATAAGATAACCTGTTTCTCGGGCTTTGATGGGAAACAACAAACATGTAGTATACCTTGCTCTGGTGAGATGACCTAAAATGCGATATGTGGAGAGAAACACTGCGCATCACCCTGAACACACCGTTCACACGGTGAAACATGGAAGTGACTTCATCTTGAAATTGGGAAAATCCAATGACGAATCTGTAGCAAGACTTGAAAATGAATGTTTACAGATGCTCTCCGTCCGGTCTGACTGAACTTGAACTATTTTCTGGACAAGTCAGTACATGGATGTACAAAGCTGTTAAGAGGCAAATCCAAAAACAAGGCGACTCAGGGGCTTCATACAGCACATTTTCAGATGACTTGTGAGAAAATGTGGAAACCATATAGCATTTTGAAGTTATGACCCATGTAGTTTGGCCTGTCACATAAAACTATTAAAATACAGTCAAGTTTGCGGTTGTAACATTACAAAGTGTGAAGCAAATTAGGAGTATACATACTTTTGCAAAACACAACTGCGTAAGATTATGCTGACTGAAAAGACTACTGTTTAACTAAGGTCAGATAAAAGACTGGCAACAACTAACCTGGACTATTTCAGAGTTAAAAATAAAAATCAACCTTAAATTTTCTAAGACTCAGCTATTTTTATGTTATTTGTTTATAATATAAACTTATTAGGAATTCATACCAGCATGGAAGCATATCTGGAAACGAGCCATAAACACAGTGGGCAGACATTACTACACATCTCTGGGCTTGTTAAAAACTACTAAATCAGATTCAAGGTTTAGCGTCATCTACAAACATAAGAAACACTTGGTTGCTTTATTTATATTTAGTATTGTTAAAAGCCATCTAAAAATACCAACAATATAGGTGAATGCATTTAGATCTGCTAACTGCAGAAGCAGAATGAGGGTAGTGTTGTCACAAAATAGGTGCTTTATACCCGGTGAAAAACGATCTTTTTCTTCAATGGTCTCAGGGGAGAAGGCCAGTGACCTTCATAATTTTCTTCCTAAACAGCTGCCGCTACATGGAGCAGCAGCCATGGGAGGCGGTGAACGGAGACGCCGAATATCAGGAGCAAAGGGGGGTCTGAGTCTACCTGAGCAGACCACAAGGAGACCCTTCATAACTCGCTTGTTTCTCTTACTTGAACTTACAAACACATGTATCCTGACATATTGTCAGCATAGATGCACAGATTGTATCTCTACCACATTCAATCACTCGCATAAACATAGAAAAATATGTTAATTTGCATAAGTGCATTAATTAAAGCATGAGTTTGTTCTGAGTTAATCCCTTCTTTGATTTCTCACAGGTACAAACAGGCTTTAATCTTCTATTTGCTTATTCATACCTAAAAGGCTTTCCCTGTTAGAGAGAGATGTGCTGCAGTGATGCTTACTGTGATCATATTTCTAAATGCATTCATTTGTGACGAGAGTGGAAGAACTTCTAATCTCAAATAAGAAATGTGTAAACCATTAATATTTTTAAAGCAGCTCTAAGCATGTATATATAGGGAGAAACACTAAGCCAAGACAGCATGGCTACACTGAACTCTAAAAATGCAAATAACATTCCACAATTTAACCTTGGCCTAAAAATTCCTTGCTGCCCTGTGTTGCTCCTACCCTCTCTGTGAGACTGGTTTGTTTGACTAGTGGCTGGTCGTCGTCCATCTGGCCAGGAGAAGAATGCTCCCTCAGGGCACCGCTCTCCTCCAGCTTGCTAACCTCAACGCTCTCACCTGGTTTGGAGAAACAGATCCAAGCGTACAGAGGTGTCAGGCTTTGCATGTGACGGTACCTGATACAGAAGTGTGAGAGGCAGAACTAATGCAACACATAGCCAGTGCTTTTGTCTGGGAATGACAAGTGAAGCTTGCTTCCCTACCATCAGGCTGTTCAGCGAGGTTGCGGGCGATGATCTGACAAATGTGAGAGGCGATAGGGATAGCAGTGGCTCCAGATTCTTCCACATCCTCTTGAAGTGTCAGACTTCTGTCTCCTGAGCTGCTGTCCGACTGAAGCAGAGTCTTCTTCAACTTCTACAATGACATTATGCCCAACATATCACGTAAAGGGGAAGTATTATGTGTTTTCCAGGCATATAGTGCTATTTTGTAGCACAATCAAGTAACTGCTAACTTCAGTTATAAAAATGCTGTATACATCAAAAATAACTTTAAAAAAATACTTCGTAATTTAATGCCTTGAAATTGGGCCTCTGTCTCTTTAAAAACTCCTGCTTTCTCTGAAACTTCGCCTTCAAGAAATCATCACAACATGGCTCCTCTATTAACCCTCTAGCAAAATTTTGCTAGCATTTCACTGAGAAGTAGATTGTATAATGAGCTCAGCTGATGCGCAGTTCCACCAGGGTGTTTGCTAATTGCTGCTGACTAGTCTGAAGGAGCAGAGTGGAGGAGTATCAGGGGAGGGTTGCTCTGCAAAGCGGAAGTTTGGAAACTGCAGCTCTGAGGAAGATTTTCGTCTTCTAAGGCAATACTAGGCTCACCCAGGTGTTTTACACAGTGGTTGTACAAGGAGATTAAAGGATTTCTCAAACATGCAGGAAAGAATAAAATCAATACTCCAGGTATATTTCTGATGAGGGAATAAAATTATAACATGATGTAAAGCTGAAAAAAGGACTGTGAAAAACCAACTCATTCATTAATATTAAACTCTTGCATTCATGTTTTGTTCTTGTTAAACGACTTTCCAGAACTTAATTTGTACCACTGTTGGTTGCTCAAGACATGTTGACAAAAGCATTTTTAATATAAGTGATACATATTAAATTCTACACAGTGTCAAATTTGTTTATGAGTCCCGGGGTAATATAACACTCTGAAATACTTCAGCTTATACTGTCTGAACTGTTTGCACCTCAGTGCGTTTGCTTTACAACACATTAATCCTTCCAAATGATGCTCTTTCAACAAAAGATAAACCTAATAAATGTTCCTATAATTATAGGCATAAATTACATATAAGGACATTGAGTGCCACAGTAGTTAGAGCAGGCTCCCCGTATTTAGAGGCTATGAACCTTGACACTTCAACCTCCCTCCTGGGTTCCTATGCTGCATGTCTTTCCCTCCTTTTTAAGGGAAAGAAAAGACAATATCAGGTACTACCCAAAATTATTATAGACAGATTTATGTCTAAAATGATTTTCTTTCAACTAAAGAGTTCATTTCTGCCAAGAAATTAGATGGTTATGCAAAAGAATTATACATTTTAAAAAATACATAGATTTTTTTGGAAAGAGGCATCTTAAAATTGATTTATATTCTTCTCTGTAATCAGTGGAAAAATCTTTATTGGCGTGACATCAATCAAACATTTTTTTTATGATTGCTTTTCAGGATTTTACATGTTTCCACTGATATTTTTGATGTCAAAATGATGAGCTCATCTTGTGATGAGCCCAAAGTTTTTGAGGTTGGAAGGTCACCTTGCAATCTTAAACTCCTTCCACCGATTCTCTTCCAGATTCAGCTCTGGATCAGGCAGAGTTGAATCTGCCTGAGCCAGCGCTGGATATTTTTGGTAGAAACAAGCAATGGCTGTAGTTGAATAATAGAAAACCAACAGACTCAACGATCATGACATGCATGCTGCTGATTCTGAGTAAGTGAATCATCAAGTTGAAAGGGACGTGTTCAGAAATATTAGTAATGTGGAGATTAATCAATTAGATCATTCATTCCATGAAAAAACAGGCTCCAAACAGGCAGCCCTTATTTAAGGACAAAGTGGAACATGCTGGTTATGGTGCATTCCTCTGGGTTGTTCCACACATTGTTCATAGGAACAGTGTGCTACGATTAAAAAGTTGATTGGAGAAGGTAAAACATAAAAATGTGCAGAAAATAATAGGCTGCTCTGCAATTTTCTCAAATGCTTTAAAATAGAAACTAAAACCAAAAAGACATGGAAGAAAATGGAAAACTGCCATTCAAATGGATCAATTATCCAAAATGGAAAAGGGTTCATGTTGCCTTTTGCCAAAGAGGAGAAGTTCTAAGAGTGGGGAAAACTATCAATAAACATACCAGTGAGAAACCAACATCCAGAAAAACAAGATTGATGTTACTGCCCAATCCTCAGACCTAATAAAAAAATACTCCAGGGGTGACATCAAAACCTGCTGTTTCAGAGGCAAAATAAGAAATTGCAGAGGAATGTTGGAATGTAGTCAAATTGTCCAGAGCTGGAATACCTGTTAGCAGTTGGTCGACTGCAGATGTGAAGCAGTTCTCAGAAACAGCTGCTGAACCAAATTCTTCAGTGATTTAGAGGAGACCTGAATCTTCAAGCGTGTTTTCCCAGGTTTATGCACAGTAAATGTCTGACTTCTTTAAGTAAAAAGCTGACACCGCCACATTTTTAACAGCTGAATATATATTTCCCAGTAATGATAAATTAGGCATAGATTTCTTCAGGCTTTGTTTTGGAATTTAATATGCAGTGTCCCCAATATACTTGCGCTTTGGAAATCAAAGATTTGGAGTTTTATACTTCCGAAGAAACATGTGTATTATTCTGAATATAACTGCATACGTTTCATAATGGTTATGATAATATAGGCATACGAATAGTCATAAAACTATCAAATCAGTTACAACTGTTTTTGTTTGTTTCTACATTATCGGGAAATTTAATTGATATGTTTAATTATTGATTAATAGCTGTTCACTTATTGAATTTTAAATTAAATGACTCATATATTAGCATAAACAAGCTTCAAGCTACAGTCAGAAATATCATACATGATATTCCCTTCAAGAACTTTCTAGTTCTTTAACCCTTGTGCGTGCAAAGACTGAGGCAAACGTAGAGCACTGTGGAAAATGACAAGTTTTACGTGTGTGGGGTCGGTTGGACCCTTTTTCTGGACACAAAGGTTAAATAGCCTAATTCTCCACACCTGCTCTTCTCTGAGCCGTCATCAATTCGACAGACCTCTACTACTAATAATAATGACGCAGTTTAAAACGGCGAAGTGTTATGTTACCTGAATCACAGCCTCCAGTCTTGGTGAGTGTCCATCTTGCTCCCGTCGAGAACTCATTATAAAACTTTTCCAACTTTAACCATTAAATGCTTTATACCTTTAAGCGTTCAGTAATTTGTTTGCTTTAAAGTTAGCTCGCGCTCTGCTACAAAACCCTGGAAACCTTTTGAGAATACATTCAAATAAAAGTAAAAATAACTGTAGGCATAAGGTTAAGAAACTTTAGAATCATTTGCAGCCACAGCAAAGCTCTCTACTGCCAAACAATTCGCCATGGTTACCACACGCACAAGCAACGTTGTCAAGGTAACAGAATGCAAGAGTTGTTGATTCCATTGGATGACTGAACCCGCTAGCCAAACTACTGAATTCCAATGGGTTAATAATTAAACGAGACAATTACAGCACCATGTTTTATAACCTTTAAAGGGACTAACGGAAAACATTTTTTTTATTAATTCCTTTTATTTGGAGAACCATAATAGTTCATTTGTAGCAACAAATACGAGTAATGATACTTCATAATAATGCTCAAAGCAGATGCTTTGAAACAATTTCTGCAAAAAAAAAAAAAAAAATTAAAAAAATATTCACTAGTATCATAAAGCAAAGAGTTCAGCTGTCAAATACATGAAGCAAAGGATAAACACCTGTTGAGCACTAAAGCATGCATTAATGCATTGAGATTTCCAGAGGATTATGTGGCACACTATTCTTGGCACAAAGGACATCCTCTGACTGACTTGATACTTTCACTCCAACAATAGACATATGCTGGGTATGTCTCTCTGAACTCACTGACCCCCAAAACTGAAACAGTTTTGGGGGTCTTGATGGCATCTATGCCATCAAGACATAGATGGCTTGATGGCATCAATGTCTTGATGGCATCTATGTCTTGCCATCAAGACATAGATGCCTTGATGGCATCTATGTCAAATCTATGGGTGGAAGTTCAGGCCACTGGGATGGATCTAGGAATATAGTGGATACTCCACTGTAGAACCAAAGTCTTGGGAGGAAACATTCCACATCCCAGGTGTTGGATGCTCGGTTGTAAACCTCCACTTCCACCCCATAGTCGCCCTCCATTCCTTTCCAGTGGCCGCCCGTGACATACAGCTTTCCATCCAGGGATACGAGGCCACCATTCTCATGGAGCATGTGAAGAAGCTGCACCTGGAGGCATTAAAAAGTCAAAGCTTTGACTGACACTGAAGAATTTTAAAAGGTGTTCTGCTTTGAATGTTGTTTTCATATTTCTATTGCCATAGTAGTTTCTGGTTTGATTTCAATAGCCCACCTTTTGCCACATGTTTGCCTCTGGGTCATATGAGTAAACTTTCTTTGTGTTATCAGCCAACAGGTATATTATCCCGTCCACACAGACGGAACGAGGAGATGACAAATACTTGGGGATGAAAGGCGACCCTATACTGATCCAGGCATCTATAAAGAATAAAAATAAAAGGGTGCACAAATTATGAGATTTTTTTATGCTGAAAATAGTTTTTTTCCCCTGTTTTCAATCGCTCAATTTAAAAATTTGCAGATGAGATCGAGTTGTGTCTAACAGCAGTGATATGATGCTGAAATCCACCTTACCTATGACAGGGTTGTAACACTGCATGGTCAGTGCATTGTACTTCACTGCGCATGATCCAATCACATAAAGCTTTCCAAAACAAGCTGTGGCTGTGAAGTTAGTCACATATTTTAAAGCGGGACACGTCAACGCCCAGGTGTTACTGTAAGGGTCGTAATGCTCAACCTCAACTTGAGCCGACGTCGTGCCTAAAACAGGAAAAAGAAAATTGTGGGAATTATACTGAAATAGTCCAGCGTGGATAATAAAAACAACTGCAGTAATTCTTAACAATACTGTGCCATGCAAAAGCATTCATACCACTTGAATTTTATCCACATTTCATCATGTGACAACCAAAATCTTTGATGTATTTTCCTGGGGTTACATGTGACAGACCAAAAACAACAACATAACCTAGTAGCATATAACTGTGAATTGGAAAGAAAAGAATGTGTAGTTTTCAAACTTCTTTACTGTTAACAATCTAAAAAGTGTGGTGTGCATTTGCTTTCAGCCCCCTTGAGTCTTATTGCAGAACCAGCTATCTCTGGCATTTACAGTTGCAAGTCTTTTGGGGTATGTCTATAACAGCCTTGCACATCTAGAGATGGATTTGAGTCCAGTCTTTTCTGCAGAAGAAGCTCAAGCTAAGACAGATTGAATGAAGATGGTCCAAAACATGACATTTTCAAGTCTTGTCACAGATTCTTAATTAGATGTACGTCTGGACATGGACTGCAATAAGCTACTTCCAACCACTGTAGCTCTGGCCTTATGATTTGTAGTGCTAGAGTCCCTGCATTTAACAATCATCCACTACTTTGTATATCACATAAAAACTAATAAACTACCATAAGGTGTTGGTTTTTATTTTGACAACAAGTGGAAATATTCAAGGGGTTTGAAAACATTTGCAAGGTACAAGAAAGAAATGCAAACACATTCTTAGTAGTCTGTTCCTCTGCAGGGCCAGAGGTAATTGAACTAAGGAGCAAAGGAGCTTAAATGGTGTTTGTCACAGTTCAACACTGCTAACAGCTGTAAGATAGTAACACATATACTTATATTTTCTCACCTCCAATTACGTAAAGCTCGCCATTAAGTGTTGCCGACGTGTGGTTAGTCCGGGGCCGTATCATTGGTGCTACAGTAACCCATCTCCCCTCTTTCATGATGTACTTCCAGGTCTCTGTGGTCGACCATGAGTTGGTGTTCGAACCTCGCGAGCCCCCTTATCAGACAGACAAACGCACTTTGTCAAAAGCCTGATATAATAATCCATTTCTTGAGGGAGGACCTCATGCAATTTATTCAAAAAGTTGTAGATGTCATCATTTTCATCTGATGTTTGTCTTTTGTTTGAACATCTGGTGCTGAACTGACCTGTTACATAAACATCATTGTTTAGGGTCACCATGGCATAACCCCACTTGTTGGGATTAGGGAAGTTAGGCAGTTCATGCCACTTTTCTGCAGGGAAACAGAGAAGAATATTTTTACAGAGGCACATTCAGGCATTATGGGGAACTGGATAAAAGTCTCCATAAATAAAATAACACAGTAATGAAATAATGTCTAAAAAGTATGAAGGAAATTAGGCAAAAATGCAAAATGTTCTCGAGAACCATTAAGTGGCCATTACTTTGCAGTCTGCAATGAAACATATTTTTTTTGGCAAAACAATCCATTTGTGGCCAATGTCATTTTGCCTTGTCATGAAACCAGAAGTCTTAAAATGGGATGCAGCAATCTTTTCCTTAAAATCCCTTGAGAAAATTCTAACATGCCTTCCATCAGCAGTCGCAATAAAACACTCATGTACGGAACTGAGAGGATGATCCAATTTTGTCACATCCAAAACATAGCTCTCCAAAAGTCGTTTTCCTGTCAACAGCACAGTTAATGACCTCTGATATCTGCCAAACAGTTTTAAGGAATCCGACAGACTGTTCCCAGCAAATTTTAAAGCGTTAGATTCTGAAAGCAAGCCAGTGTGAAATGTAGATAGTTGTATATCCCTACTTGTCTTTGTGTTGTAGAAGGCACAGTTCTTGGATGGCAGTCTTTGAAGTCTTGGGTCTGCGTCGTCATCCTCGTCTGAATCATTATCATCTTCATCATCTAGTGAACGTCCGCCCATCACAAACAGTACTTCTTGCAAGTTTGGTTGTGGACTGTGAGAGTTTAGTCTTTCGGAATATTCTTGTGCCAAATCTTGCTTCTAGAAAGATAAAAGTAACAAGTGTCATTAGTAATCGAATGCCATTTTGGGGAAATATGAAAGAGAGGTTAGACGCACTCACAAACCTCTCTACAAACTTCTTGAATTGCCTCCCTGCAGCGAGGGGAGGCCTGGACCAAACTGTCTTTCAGTAGGGTGTCAGTCAGGTAACTTAGGCTGAGCAGAGACAGATGTGACAAGCTGAAGAGTTCAGGAAGGTGGCACAGTCGGGACTCTTTCTGATGCCCGACCCATTTCAAGATGGCTTCCACGCGTGTGCACTCCGAACGGATTTTCAGTCCTTCATCGGACAAACAAGCTTTCAGCCGATCTTTCCCCAAAAACAGAAACTCCTCGCCCTGTTGCACGGCCTCAAAAGTCTCTAGGAGGAAGGCCCACGCTTTGGCCACAACTTCAGGACAACCGTGGATCTCTCCAAACTCCAGGATTCCCAGGCAGTTGGTCTCGTCGATCTGATTCTGCAGGTATCGGCTGCACACAGTTCGCACTGTCTGAAACTGTAGTTGGCTGGAGGTACAAATCAAGCCCTCCACATTGCTCTGGTTTATTGTCAGCTTGCCGGTGTAGGCAAAGTCAAGCAAGCAGCTGAGGATGTCAGGATCGACATCCTGGAGCTCCACACGGGCAGCAATGCTCTCCACAAAGTCCCCTGAGAACATGGAGCGGAAATACATGCTGCAGAGTGCCAGAACCCCTCGGTGACAAGGGAAATCTCTTCCCCCTGCACTCAGGGTCACATCCACAAGTTTGGGGTGTGAACAGAGCAAGCGCAAGCCTTCCAGGATGCTCTGAGGATGGGAGGACAGGCAGAAGTCCAGATCGTCCACGTTGCGCACCATGATCAGCCTTATCCCTAAACGTACACTCTTCTGTCAGCAGATCAGCACTTTCCTATAAATATAAAGGAAATACAAGTAGAACTGATTCTGAAATGCCACCAAAACTTTTTCATTTTTGAAAACGAATGAAGTGCAGAACCATTTTTTAGCCACTTTTTCAGGATAGCTTAAAAGTTTTAAATAACTGCATCATACAACTAATAAAGTTCTTGTCACTATTTTGATTAATCAAGCTTTCTTTATAGACAATTCTAGCCATTACCTTTAAAAAAAGCATGTTTTTGATTAGGTCTCTTTAAAACTGAAGGAATCTAGTTTAGCTTTGCTCTTGTTTGTCATAGCACAAACAAGAGTAAAGCTTAAATTAATCAAAAGATGACTTTAAAAAAAAGAAGAAAAACTCACCCAAGATAGACCGATTGAAAATGAGGGTTCATCCTTGAATCAAAACACAAGTATTGCAACGAAGGCTAAGATCAACATGGAGTGGGCAACATGGCAAATGTTTGCCAAGTCACTGGGGAGGACTGGCTGTCCGTCTGTTATTTTTAGGACTGAGTGACGCTGTGCTGAAGTCAGATTGCAAACAACAAGTCTGAGACCTACAGCTGCTGCCAAAGGCACATGTTCTGCCGAACGGCCCTGGAATCTCCATAAGGAGATAGATGAAGCAGTGCTGACATGTGGAAGTTCCTTAACATAATCATAATCCTCTTCTGAGAAAAAAAAACTCCAGAACAACTTACCTCAAATGACAGTCGGTGATCTGAAGTAAAAACTCTTTTGCGTCAGAGTTGTGTTGATGTTGTTCGATACCTGAGGTTTGATGTTAAGTAAATCAAATATTATACATACTTCTGAAATGTGTTGCTGTTTAATTGCTAAAGCACAGTGCAGTAAAAGTGTATAAAAATTGTACAAATTAGATCACATCCGACAATATTGAATAAAATTAAAGAAAACATGACATTAACTGTCGTAATTAAAGAAACCAGAAAAAAAGCTTCCTCTCTAAACTGCAGAACATGTTCTTTAATAGAAACAAGTTATTTTATAAGTCATGTTACCTTTTTCTACAAAGCATAATATTTTTTTAAAAAGATACAGTAAACTACTCAAAATCAAAGATCTCTGCCTCTTTCTCTTTCCAAAAAGCAAAACTGCGATCGATGTACTGACATATTTCTTCATTGCTGAAACTGGAGATATCAGTTCCGCCGTAGAGCATGTTCTCATCAGGCGTAGGTGTTTGAACGATGACTTTAGGGACCTGTCTAATCTCTGGGAGGCTGGGTTTCACCACATTGGACGCGTCTTCAGATTCACTCACAGCGTTTCCAAAGAATTTCACTTTAATGTCCTCAAAGCCGTCCTTCCACTCACGGTTCCCAGCCTCAATGTCCTGCACGACGGCCTTGTGAAACTCTCTGATCGTCTCCCAGGGGAACGTCCCCAAATGGTCGAAAACTTCGAAGCACAGCAAGTGCCTCATTTTCCTCTCATCCACAGGGAGATCCAACTCCAAGATGTGAAAGTAGCCCAGCATGAAGAGATCCAGTGTCAGGCTGTCGTAGTCGACTGGCACCCCGTCCAGACGAGGTAGGAACTGCTCCGGGGAGAAGAGGGCCTTCTGCCTGTGGAGCCTGTGGAAAACATCACAAGATTGTTAAGAACTTACAAATGTTTGGTTTTTTTACATATTTTTATATTGAATCAGTAATTTAACATAGGCACACTGCTTGTTTTCTAAAGGCATAGGTCGTGATTTTCTTTCTTACAGTAGATAAAAGTTGAAATGTGAGATTTACAGTCATATAAAGAATGTTAAAATGATGAATGATAGTGCTATATTGGCCACCGTCAGCATGAAACTTGATCTGTTGCTTTCTCCAAATGGCTCAATATTAGATCAATTTTGGAGAAAATGAAAATGTGGAATAAATTTGCCGCCGTTAAACTCAATACATTAAAAAAAAAAACAAAGAAAAAAAAAAAAAAAAAACTTAGCAGCTGAGAGCATTTGTATTCCACATGGTGCCACATCTGTTTGTGTCTTTCTGAATTTCTGAACTTTGTTACACTGTAATCCAGCCAAATTCCCAAGATAACTGCTCCCACTTGAATATTTTTTTATTATTATTATTATTATTTGCTGTCATCAGACAGTAAACCAATTCTGAAATGATGAGCAGCCCATAAAGACTGTATGTCAAATGCTACTACACCTCAAAAACCCTGATTTTTATATCACCCCAGGCCATTCTAACAAAATCACTCTACTCATAAGTTAAAGATAACATGCAAGTCATAATTTGATCACTCACACCCTCCTTCTGGTTAATAAACCACGAGATGTTTGCATGTGTGCTGCTCATTCATGCTGATGTCAACTGCTGTGTGGTTAAATGAATGTGCTGCTTTCTCAAACAAGACCACACAAGACATCACTGGCAACTGCACTCAAATGAAGGGAGAGAAGTTTTCTTTTTTTTTCTTTCCCCCCAAAATTGCTGATGTGTTACAAAACAAAAACACATACAGCTAGATGCAGAAATGTCATGGTTAATTATTCTAAAAAGTTTAATGTGGTATCCTAAAAACTGTTTTGAAAGTTTGTCATGTAGCAGAAGTAGCAGAACTACTACTTCTGCTAATACTGCTGCTGCTAATACTAATACTGCTGCTCATGACGATGCTACTGGTAATACTACTCATGCTGTTGCTAATACTGCTACTGCTGCTACTAATTCTACTGCTAATGCTGCTGCTAGTACTGCTACTACTAATACAGATGTGGCTACTTATACATTACTATTAACACTGCTAATAGTTCTATTATTACTGCTATTAACACTGCTACTAATACTATAATTACGAGTTCTGTTGCTACTAATTCGATTACTACTATTAGTAGTACTGCTCTGCTGCTACTAGTACTATTAATACTACTGCTGCTTTTACTACTACTACGGTTACTAATAGTAGTAGTACTCCAAGATTACTACTACAGCTACATTTATTTACCACAGAAAGTCATTTCTGCCTGTTGCCATCAGGCTTTACAGTGGCAAAGTCTGTGCTAATTGATTCAATTTTTTTCTCCACTCATTTGTAGGTTATTTATTGATTAATTAATTTATTTATATCTAGTCATTTTGAACTTATCACTCTTAGATATATATATATATATAAATTTTGTATGTTTTACCTATGATGGAGTAGCTTTCAACAAATAAGCAATTTCCCCTTGGGGATCAATAAAGTATATTCTATTCTATTTATTACCACAACTACTACAACTACTACAAATATTAACAAGGATAACAATTATAGTAATAATCTTGTCATTGTTGTTGAAGGTATTTTCTGCATCAATATGCACTCATATAAACTCGTGGATAAAAATGCTTGTTGAGTGTACAACAATTGTTTCGATATCTCCAACAGTGTTTCAGCATATCCTCTAGGTGTCATCAAATGAGTGAATAACTAGAAACATGCAAGTCATGGGCCAGCCTTGGAGATAGAGTAGGTATGTCAGATATTCGGGTGTATACATCCTTGAGATATGAAACCCCTGCCTATTCTGAACTATATGGAAAGACTAGAATAGACAGAAAAACCAGAAGTCCCATTTCCAGTTTACCTCCAGCCAAACATTTCGAAGAATGTATTCAGGGAAGAGCAGACCAAAACCTAACCTACTAGCCCACATGCAAAATGATGAGTGGTAAAAAAAAACAAACACTGCACATTACTGAGTGTGAACATACCATCCCCAAAGGGAAACTTTGTGGTGGCAACATCATGCTGCAAGCATTTTCCATCTACTTCACAACTACCCACTTCTTCATGTCAGGCCATCTCATCAAGTCCTTGTGAAAAAGTTGCGCTTGGGGTGTAATGTTACAAATCTAAAAGAGTATACTTTTGCATTGGCCCATACCCAGTGCAGAAATTAAGAAGTGCTTAAGTACCGGTACCATTGTAGAATAATTTCTACTGAACACTGGGGATGTTTTTATGTCATCCAGCCTTACCTGCGTATCTGTCTGGAAGGGACACTGGAGATCATTTTCCTCCAGTTTCCCATCATCTTGTTGACGGCACTTCTCTGTTTAAAGAAATGGCCCAATGAACTGTTCATCATAACGCACTCGTCATTTTCTGCGCTGCCTCTTTGACCAGAACCATACTCATCATGGCTCCCTGGGTTTCCGCTGCTCATCTTCCTTTCGACCGCATCCCTGCTCTTCAACGTCACTGTGTACACAGACTTTTTCCAGTGACCTAAAAACAGGACCACTATGCGCTCCTTTCTAAGGCTGATTGTTTCCTGAACATCAGCGACACTCTCGTCATTGTCAATACCAGAGTCGCTGTTCTGGTCTGCTTCGGCAGCCGGTTTCAACTCTCTCAGCTGTTTGTCGAGGTGCGCATCGTCAAGCTGCGCGGACAGACAGAACGCGACACTCTCCTCTTGGTGATCCAACAAAGATGTGTTCTGTTTCTCGAAATTTGACCTCAAAGTCCTCACGGACACTCCGAATTGATGGATTTCGTCCTCGATGCTCTCCCTGCGCACCCTGTTGGAGATCTGTCTGTCTGGTGCCTGAGAAAACACAGTGATGAGTTCAGTGTTGGGCATTTTACAGTAGGGCTGGTCTGTCAGGTTGGTCATGAGCAGAGACATGCTTTTTACGATGCCTGAGATCCGGCCACACCACACAGGTAGGGGAACTTGGCTCTTGAAGTTCCTGAACTGGGTGTTGACAGTGATGTTGACTATGGGAGCTGGGAGGATGTGCCTGAGCTCCTCGGCGAGGCGGGCCAGCTCCAGCTCATAACCTGCGCAGTTCCTCTGAAGAGAGACGTTGGCAATCTGCTGCTCCAGATAGATGAGGTCATCCTCTGTCAGCAGCTCACCAAAGGGTCCCAGGATGGCATTGTGGGCTTGGGAGTACCTCCAGCTGACTTTGGCATATCTGCTCCCGCTTTCCTGTAAAAGAAGAGGCAAACAGCAGGCAGATGAATACAGGGCCCATCAAACATTTTAAATGATTTGGCATGTGAGGGAAAACAGTAATGATACAGTAAAACGGCTATACAGCTCTCATCCAAACCTCAAAAATATGACTCGACTCACAATGCGTTATGTGTGAATGATTTGTTACGAGCAATTAAAAATAAACGGTGACTTTAATGTAGATGTAATGCAGATATAAAACAGCATTACAAAGTCACAGCACAATTTGTGCTTTTCTCATCATAGTCTTGAACAGGGTCAAAAGCTATTTGTTTAGGCGACGCAATGAGGAAGAATGAAACGACAGAGAAATCAAACATTACTAATAAAGGGATTAACGTGGTAAAACAGATGAAGTAGTAGTTGGAAATATTTCTCCTGGGGGCTAGACTTGTGTTTTGAATATCAGCGCTATATGAAGCGAAGACTGACAGTTGTCAGCAGATTTAAAGATTATCATGCACACTACTGACAATACTTGTGGCAGGAGTTTCTCATTTAGATTTAAGTACAGAAGTGGGAAAACC